CTGATAGTGATGAGTGGTTATCCCACTATATGTTGTTTTACAGGATGTGATACTGTGAGTGCTTTTGCCGGGCGTGGGAAGCTAGGCGCTTTGAAACTCGTGTCGAAGAATGAGGAACACCGAAATGCCTTTCAGCAACTGGGGGAGAGCTGGATGGTGTCTCCTGACAGCGAGCTCTTTGATAAGATCCAACGCTTCACCTGTGAAATGTATGTGCCTTCGACCCCTGTAACCGACGTAAACGAGATGCGACATCACCTGTTCCTAGCAAAAAAAGGCAATGTTGAGTCAAGTGCCCTGCCACCCTGCCAAACTTCCCTACATCTACACGTGCAACGGGCCAACTACCAGGCCGGCGTATGGAGGCGGTGTCTTCAGAACCACCCGCGGGTACCAAGCCCAGTAGAGTCTGGGTGGGAGATGGATGAAGATGACAACATCTCCATCACATGGCTACAGTCACCCCCTGCACCTGCTGCCGTACTGGAGCTGCTGACATGTAATTGCTCACGATCCTGTACCCTACCTACATGCACTTGTCTGGCCAACGGATTGAGATGCACAAACATGTGTAAACTGAAAGATTGCTGCAACAGGAAAGATGAAGAAACAGAAGAGTATCTGAACGTTGAGCAAACCTGTAGTGATACTGATGACACATCTGATTCTGATGAGGATTAGATGACAATGTACATTTTGTAAATACTCAATCCATATAGATATTTAATTTTTTTGAATTTGTACAGCATTTTCAGTACATTTTATGACTAACTTAATGACATTGCAATGTCACATGCTACGAAGTAGATTTAAGTAATGTTCTGTCATTTAAAACCAATCACAACTACTGCAAAATATAGTAGTACGTGCTGTTATTTTGATTTTTAAGGTCTGTGATCTATGTAAATTTTATCAGTCTTGGGGAGTAAAAGTAGTAAAAACTTGATGAAGTTCAACAGCAGCGGAGTATTATTGTATAAATAAAACTTAATACAAGTCTCCCTCTATTTATCAGTAATCAACATCCAACGCATGTGAGATTCGTGGCAGTTACATGTTTGTACCGAATCTCAGCAAAATCGCTTTAACTATATTGTGGCACAGGAGCCAAAAATTTACATTTTAGTTAAAAATAGCACCAAATGCCACAAAACTGCAGACAAAATGAGATTCCTCCATACATACACTAAGGTACTTCACTCAAAATGGTCAGGAAATAGACATTTTCCCACAAGTCGCCCTCTATTGCCATTTACGAAACCATTTTAAAGTATTATCTCCTGCGTTGCTAGGGAGGTATATTTTCCCTAGCAACGGTTACCATAGAAACATAATATAGATTTCCAAGGCCCTTTAAATTAATAATTTTCCTTCGATAGAAGTTTTCTTCAAGTTTTGCATATGGTGTGCACTCCATTATGCTGGGAAAGCAGCCAAGTGCCTCCTTAGCAACGGCCCTAGCAACGGTTCCCCACACAAGGCCTTTTGGAATAGAACTTTTAGATACTCATATCTCCAGATAGGATTGATGGATTTTTATGATTTAAAGCTTGAAATGTAGGGAATGATACACAAAGTCAGATGAACGCATGAAGCAGGCTCAAATATGTAATATGAATATTTGACAGGTTTTGAAAAGCAAACATTCTATTTTTTTACCAATTTTTACCCAAAAATCGAATTTCGAAAGCTCATAAGTTCTTGTAGAATTGACATATCGAAACAAAATTAACATTTTTGTAATCCTTGGTTCCTGTT